TTCTTGGCTTTATCCACTGAATGGTTTTCGATTTATTGTTTTATTGCGTAACAGTGAAAACGATCTATAGGGGATCTGCTCCCTAAGTCCCGTGCACATTACGCTGGAGAAGTTTGAAAACGAAACAATCACCGATTATTTTGGATTTGTGTTTGAAGAAAGCTCCGGCAGGGAAATCAGATCGTTATCGTGACGCCAACGCTTTCGAAAATCTCCGTTTTCAAATAGTTTTCCGTCCACACAAAAACGAAACGCCGACTTTTTCAAATTCCTCTAGTGGTTTGAAGAACATTTTCGAAAAGCTCCGTATTTTTACGGATTAGTGTGGACGGAAAGCCAAACCGTAGAAATAAAGCTGCGTTTTCACATTTCTCCAGTGAAGTGTGGACGCTACCTTATTTTCTCTTGATTCGTCGTACTTACCTGTCTTGGTCCATCCCCGTTTCAGTTCAATTCTACATCGAGTACTAGAGACGCCATTAGTCGCGTTGCATTCATATATCCCAAAATCCGTGTCATTCTTTGGGGTTACAACAAGAACGTTCTCGTGTATTCTTGAGTTTGGGGTCTGAGGAACAGATTTGCTGTCCTTCAACCAGACATACGTAATAGTCGACGTAGCCTGAGTCTGAATAGTTTCACTCGTATAATTTTTAATCACATAGCAACCGAGATTGACAGGACGGCCAAGGATAGTGGTGATTTCTACTCGTGTGAGGTTATCATCACGTGCAAGCCTCTCTGTAAGGAATAAAAGAAAATGATCGTTCTGTTTGATTAGTTAATGTTGAATGACTAACTGTCTGAATGGCTTATTGACCGACTGACTGACTGACTGACTGTCTGACTGGGTGACTGACAGTATAACTGACTGACTGACTGACGTAAATTACTGGCTGGCTGGCTGGCTGACTGACTGACTGACTGACGTAAATTACTGACTGACTGACTGACTGACTGACGGACTTACGGACTGACTAACTGACTGACTGACTGACTGACTNTGCCTGACTGACTGACTGACTAACTGACTAACTGACTGATTGACTGACTGACTGACTGATGAACTGGTCGATTGTTGCATCAATGCTCATGAGGCAAAACGTGATATCCATATCGTGACCGCTTAGCTTATGTATGAAATACAAACTTGAGGTTAGAGATTTAACGGTACAGCATCGTATCAATGATGTACTTGTTTCGTTTAGCATTGTATCTTTAGGATCGAGAACTGGTGGCTAGTTTTTGAATACCTGTCATGCCTGTTTGACCGGTATGACAGAACAGTCTCCTGAACATTCAGAATTCCGTTCAATCGATACTCTTAGAAATTTTTTCGATTCTCACGTGCTGTTGTAAATTTTTTCATAGCACAATTTCCAGTTCGTTGACTTAGGCTTTCGTTTCGTGACTAAACGCGAACAAGGTTCACGAGTTTGCACACAAGACGAAGCAATATTTCAAATCAGACCTTACAAGTGCTAAAGCGCAGACAACGTGTAATGGCACACGAATTCACAACCTGGCGTGTTAAGGCATACGAAACCAACAACTGGGGTTGTACAGGACAAACCAGCCTCTGAGCAAGCAAGGCTCAGTTTGAAAATTTAATTTTAAGGAACAGAGAAGGTTAGCATAAACTGTCTGAGAATAAAAATTAATGAATGGGACAAATATCAAGAAGCATCAGTAGTTAAGATCGATAGAGTTTACATTTTTCTTCTTCTTGCACTTTCATCACTCCTCAAATCGATTACTTGAACAAGGAGAAATGATCAACCTCAGATATGTATGAGAAACGCTGTTGGTTCTCTTACAACAAGAAAAAATGACACCCTCTATATATTCAGTCTTGAGTCAAAAAAGCTATCGAAACACAAATATCTTAGTCTACGTGTATTCCATATTTTTGCCAAATGAACGTGAAATTCTTTCAGATGTTTCCACATATTATTGAGAAATACGATAGCAAAAGGCCTCTTAAACCAAGTAATTAATTTAATTCGTTCATTTATTCCCTGGGTTTTTTTTAAACGAATTTTTTCAGCCGTTGCGTAGTTCCAAAGTTCATTCCACAAATGAAATTGAACTACAATACACGGCGAGGTTTTTTCTTGCACTACACAACCGGAAAATGGTTTCGTACAGTTCTCTGTAATAACGAGAGGTTTCATGGTAAATTTCTTTTCAGGTTTCAAATCGATCTCTTTGACAATTGCCAATTAATTCTTACTCAATATAACAATTGAAGCACTCGTTTCGCTGGCTCTGGACGTTTTCTAACCCAACTTGCTATACAAGGCACAGAAACGTAGCGACAGCGTTTTCTTACCATTTCCTGCAACAAGGTGAAGAAAGAACCACACAACTTGAATAACGCGCACGTACTGCGCACATGATCTGTTGGCCGCCATGATATTTTGGTTGCCACTCTATACAGTACAGTGCAAAGACTGATTCCAACACGAGATTTGTATATTAGTCAGCTGTTTGTACTATACAGTCCAGACTATGCTAAGCTGTCTAATTGTGGATGGCATTATCAACAGAATTTTGCATATTTAGTATTCCTTTTACGATATTGAAAGTATCGATATTAAACAAGCAGTTTAGTACATGCTGGAGGAAATTTATGGCATTGTTCCGAGAACAGAGACTACTTAGTCGCTGGTATTTTCCTGAAAGCCATTGCTAAATCATCAAAACGGAGCTAAACGAGGGTCCAAGGTCGGTGATCGTGTAAAGATAGCTCCAAAAAGGATTCTGTCAATTTTATACGGTATCCAATATTGAAAAAGCAATTGAAGCTATATAACTGAAAACTTCCTCTTTACGTAAACGATGTTTTCTTATCGCTCGTAAGACTATTATATGGCTCTATAATTTTTGGTAATTTTGGTTTCTCTGCAGATAAGAAGCAGATAACAGATAAGAAGCAGATTTTGGATCTTGTTAAAACGGGGAAGGAAATACTAGTTGAGAATGTGCGCTTAAATATGTTTAACACCGTTTGGAAAACGTTTTCCATCACAATTAAAACAGAAATCAGTCTTTTATCCCTATTTTTAAACACAATGACGGGACGTAAATAGCTTTTTTAGGATCATTTTTAGCGCACTCTCCAAATGTTTTATAATAATCAAGTATTTTAGCCTTTCTCATTTTGTTTTTTGTAACATCCTCTTCAATTTAGTTAATGAGGTTACAAGCAACTTGCTGTCTTTTTTAAAAATGATAGGGCTAAATATGCCAGTGATCTGTACTTATCACGACCCCGATGTCTTTTTTGTTTTTGTTTTACTTTTTTCCGTGCCACCCCAGTGGTAATGACATGGAGTGATTACGTCATTCGAAAAGAAATATGTCGGAATCGATACTGATTCTTACGTCACTCGTAAAAATACGACAGTGGTGAAGATCAACTTCAGGTATCATGGTAAATAGATTTAGTTGATAAGGAATCACCTCCAGACAATTTATCGAATAAATCCCAAAATACAAGCTACGTAGAATTACTACGAGTCATTTCAAAGCTTGGAGCACGACTCCAACACTATTCCAGGCGACAACCGCTGGAATATCGCAGACCCACATGCGAACTCAAAAGAGTATGATACAGCAGAATTAAATTATAACTTCCTCAATATTTAAGATTAAGGACATTCTAAAAATTGCTATGGTTTAATTAAAGAGAAAATAAATTGTTAAACTTGCTCTATATAACATAAAGGCAAAACCACAAAACCACGAGACAAAAGGACAGGATGCACTTGAACTTGCTCGCGCCATACAGCCTTGTAAAGTCACTTGAAGGCAATTCAGTTTGCAAAATAGTTCATTTTGCCTTGGTATATACATACCTCCGTAAAAATGGCTACTTCAACGCTATTTAAACGTAGAATGTTTTTAGTTTTAACTTTTAACTACTAAAACAAGAAAGTTCACAGTGAAAACTACAACCGTCAGGTCATGATTGAACAGTCAACGCAAGATCAACAGTGTTCGCCGTTCGCAAGCCTTGGCACATGTTGAGCACGTGATCGAGTCACAACATGGAGTATTTTGTATTGATTCATTTATTGTGAACAGTAAATTTGTTCTTCTCTTCGTGAATGAAAGTGACGTCTACACTGGACGTCAGTTTTTAAATCAATAAAACAATTTTCATCATGATTTCTGGTTTTAGAGTCTTGCAGCTTAAGCTACATAGATAACACAGAATTCAAAATATCGATAACAACTTCTACCAAGTAATGTTTTCAGCCAAACAAGAAATCACACCACCCAAAGGCGCAATATTTCAAAAACTTCACCACATCTTATCACCCTAATTTATGCTTTATTTCTACTGCGCAGACAGTGAAGCCAGGTCAAACAATGCGGCGAAAAACCGTTCTACAAAAACTGAAAGACTTATTATCGCTTTCCAGGCATAGTTTGAAGCTTTTTCATAACGTCTATGCGATGCGCGCTGCCATTTCCGAGCTTTCAGCACGTGTACAAGATAACCAAAAATGGCTAGTTATTAGCTTCAGATCATTATTACATACTTATTACCTAGTTTCATAAACTGATACACTGTTAGACTATTTGTTTACCTCCTGCATCTAAAACAATACACACGTATTTCTTACCAAACGACGACACGTGCTTGGCTGTAAAAAGCAGAGCATAGCATATGAAACGTGCTCTAAACGCCTCCATGATGTTTTCCTGCAATATCTATCAGCTCGCTCAACGCACTATAGTGCAAACAACTTATAAAACGAAAACACATATCAATCGTAATGATTTACTAATGAAGTTTCACGTGAGTTCATTGGTTGAAAGTGGTCACGTGGACAGGATTGGTCAGGTACTATTAAATGCTCGCACTTGACTTTAAGAGGAAGAAAAATGCTCATCTTCCCAAACCTCTCAGATATTTACACGCAAAGCTTATAAAGTAATCTATCAGAGGTGTGGAACTGTTTTCACGAAAAATACAAAGACAATATTCAATTATATTTTAGGGTTTGGTTGTTTGCAAACTAACGGTTTGAAAACATTTTGACAGTCGTTTAGCACTTCCTAGGAGTGCCCTTAAATTCCTTCCTAAGAGTGCCCCCTAAATGCTCGTCTCGTCGTTTGGTAAGAGATACTTTGAGCTATATATATATGCTATAATAAACAGTGTAATAAACTAAATAAACACTACCAACAGGAAGTGGTGTTCTTCAGACTTCATTTTAACAATGCTCATCGGGACTATCATGTCCACGAAGTAACCGAAGTATTTTTAACACAATTTAACTCTCTGCTGGCAAATTTTTATCTTTCTTTATCCCAGCGGAAATGTCTCACTTCCCAGCAAAGTTCCCTGTCAACCTTACCCAGCTACGAGACATATGACCCGAATTCACAGACAATGCCGGAAAACACTTCAGTGAAAGTGTTTCCCAGCTCGTAAGAACTTGGCTGGGGAACAGATATTTTGTGGAATAGATCCGTTGTACACCACTGCTTAATGACTTTAGTAATGGCTGGGCAAGAGGGAAACAAAATGTAGGAACATTTAGTTTCCCCAGGCCGGGGATGCTACAATTCATGTAGATTAGTCTACCGATGACTGATACTTCAAAAGTGATGAGTTAACCTGAAACGTTGGTGCTGTCCGCTTTTGATATTTAGTCATTCTGATCGGTTGATTCTAATTACTGGTTTTCTCATATAGAGCGTTTTCACATGGTGTCACAGCAGCCATATTGGAGCTCCAAAACAATAAAAAGGCGGTCATGTTGGGGTGCCAAACCAATCCTGTGAGAGTTGAACTCTGTTCTCATGCAAACACTTTCTTTTGTTCCAATAAATTTGCATCCGTTGCCACGTGAGTAAAAACGCTCTGTGCAGACTGGTGACGATAGTACTGAAAAACAATCGAAATAATCCAATCCAAAACAATCCAAATAGGCCCTTTTGCTAATGCAGATATTTCCTAGTTCCATTGCCTTGTGGGGCCAAGAAGTGATCACTTGGCCAAAAATGGCCTCATTAATTTATTAAATAGATCAAATTCTGCTCCCACAAGGAACTAGAGCTAGCACTAGCAAAATGGTGTATTCTGCACCTTATGCTCGTAATTGTACATCTGTTAATAATGCAAAAACTAAGCTACACATTTACTTGACAATGACATCCAACGATTTCGAAACGTCTTTTATTAATTTGGCTAATTTTTGTGTTGAAATTATTCCGTCAACTCTTACTTATTCGATCTCTAGACTAAAACAAAACTAAATAAACACAAACTGGATACACTTAATGTGTGTAGTATCACTCAACTAACAAGGGAAATTGCCTACGGTGGCTCAAAACAGTTTCTAGCACTTTCCAAGACGTAGATTTTGATGGGCCATTATTACCACTCTTTATCAGTTGATGCTTCAGCGTGGTATCGAAAAACTGCCCAATCATTGCTGAACACATTGCTATCCTTTTCGTGACACTATATGTTACCATAGCAACAGTATGACCTGCTAAAAACAACCTTGAAAACATTTTTTATTATTGAATGTTGATGAGCAGGATAAGATGCAACTTTTGGTAGATGGGGTTCATAGCCACCTTAAAGTTTAAATGGTATGCCTAGAAAATTAGCTAGTTGTAGCTAAGTGCATCGACCACTTTAAACATCCAACATTTAGCACTTTTTTTGACATTTTTAAAGAGACTCTGTGATGCATTTCACAGATAGGAAAAATAAACTCGATTCATCTAAATCGATAAAACCCATGGCTTAATGTCGTTAAATGGTGCTTGAAAAATGACAGGAGTTCATCAGGAAGTGACAGCAGCTGCGGCAACTGAACTTGTTCAAGTTTGTTTATTTGCAGCATCAAGATCCTACCTAGATTCGCCATAGGTTGACCCCGTGAGGATAGAATTGCTGAGCAAGCGCAGGGAGCCGAGAGGTTTTCGGCAGCGAAGCGGGCGAACGAGCGACGAATCGAATAAGACGAAAGACTTTTCTGAAAGTCTTGAACCTACCTAAAGTTTGCAATGTTACCGCTACATGAAATAATAAAGACCTTTACATGCAAAACTTGTCAAAATCTTGAGTTAAAAAAATGTTATAGAGCTAATACTGATGTAGTGCAACCTTGTTTGTCGCTTTTTATGACCAAAACAGAAACTTAAGTCATTATGTCCTTCAGATCACCGAGAACTCCAAAATATTATTTACTAACGAAGGTAAGCTCGATTACCAGCCGCTGTTCGGGAAAAGAGCCCGCGCTCTCGCGAACGTAGACCGGACTCGAGAAAGTAGCGGAAATCGAGCCTATACCGAAGGAAGCACGCGGACACCGACGAAGAATGGAAACTTCACTTAACGGTTAACATTTTTAGAAGAAGGAATAAGACAGATTGTAAACTAAGTGACCCTACAAAAAGTGACCTGATTTCTGTCTCAAATGTCAACTGAAATTAAAGTATTAGATTTTGTGTAAACTAAGTTATAGACACAGCAGTACTGATAACAACGATAGTGGGGCCAGTCTGAAGGGAGGGCTGAAGATTA